TCCACCACCGCGGGCCTGTCTCTGATCAGGAATGCAAGGCAAACGAGAGCTGGGGTACAAGAGTTAGGGTGATGGACGTCGTACACTAGCCACGACTTGAAAGGGTTGGGTCGCCACTCACTTCACGAGAGGCGCCCCACCGAAGTACAGCAGTACTNCTGCATTTTTTTTCTGCGGCATGCTGCATGCATATCTCAACCATTGCCGCCGCGAAGAAAACACAGCCAGTCAAGCACACGTACTGCAAACTTATTGGGAAACGGACACGACGTATGCCACAAGTGTACATGGTTGAGGGAACATCACGATGTGCAGGTGCCTAATGACGTACAGGATCCAAAACTTACACCCTTCTTCACAGAGGGCGCATGAAAACAGAAATACGTGTGCACATATTTTCAGTCCTCTCACAATTCCTCTCAGAAGGGCGCACAATCATAGTCACGACTACATCCTTCGAGAACACACATTTGCCAGATTTTTTAACCTCAGGCCCAGCATTTCTCCTCTCCGGCTCCTTCCCCTTGCCGCCTCTGTGGTGTGGACACTGAACATGTCCGGGTTCGAGTCCGTCTCGTACAAGAGAGTCGAATTGTTATCCGTGCTCAGGTGAGTCAAGTCTAACACGCCGTCGCTGTTGTCGCCCATGCAACCAGAAAGAACTCCGTGACCGCCACACTTGGCGTGCCGCGAAAGCTGAATCAGCAAAACACAGCGCCCGCCTCGCTCTAGACGCGTACGCGGCGCGGCGCAGGGTTCCTGCGCCGCCGCGAGCACAACTACTCTGTACTCACAACCAAGGCACTCCTTGTGATACGCGCTTTGATCTCGGTTCAATCAAGAGGACGTGACGACTTCCAGGTGCAAAAACACCATTTCTCCAGAAGAAATCACGCTCCCAGCGGAACCTACCGAATGACACGTCCACACCCACTGATGCACAAGACTCCCAGCTGCCTCGCCACTGGGTGTTGCGCGCAACTGCTGTAGGAACGACTCGATCTCGCTATGTACCGCTTCGCCTCCCGAACACGTAAAAACTAAACAGGTGAAATACAGATGGGCTTTTTTACCAGCTCTGAAAAAAAATACACCAGCTCATTTTCACCTGTTCAGAGCGGCGCAATAGCCGAACTGGTGTTTCTTTGGGCCGGACTGGTGAAATCGCTGAACTGGTCTTTTTTGAGTCAGCGGGAAAACCCAGAAATGTACCGTTTGTCCCGCCGACGTTGAAGCCGTCACCCGTCTCCGTGTCTAGCGCGGGAAGCTGCTGTGGTTCTTGCGTCTCGCTGCATTTGATTATCCTTTCTTTGGTTGAAATCAAGACCTTGCCACCATCTCTCACACAGTAATTCTCGCCATGACCCAGGCACACATCTCGACGACAATCAATCGCGCAATAGAAAACGAACTGATGTGGCTTTCTCTCCACTGTGCCGTACAGTAGTGGCATTCTCCAAAAGACAAACCACAAAAAGTAGTTGAAAGAGAGGGACCCAATAGCCATTCTGACGTTACGCCGAAAGCTCCGTGCGGCGAACATTTGGGGTTGTCGCCTCCTAGACCTCCTGATCCTTGCCTCCTCCTGCTCTACCTCCAGCACCCACGCACCAACGCCCGCGTCTGTCTGTCTTCATCACAACTGTGAAACCAGGCCACACTTGGCCACCACGCACCACGTGCGGACCGCGCGGCACGGGGGGGGTTCGCATTAAAGACAGCGACCCATACATACCCACACACCAACAAATTACACCCATAAGGGGTAATAGGGATTGTCACTGGACGTCAACGAACGGCCGTTTTTCACGCTCTCTCCACTGCACTTCGTTTCTTATGGTTTGGAGTGATCCTGCCCTCAGTTTCTTACTGGGGTGTTTCTTACTTCTTTCCCAAGATTGAGCAGTGTTTCTTAGCCGGAATTTCTCATTTTTCACCAAAATCTGAGCTTGATTTTCCTACTTAAAATTTTTTCTTACTTGCGGGCGCGTTCTGTACGTTGGACATCGACGAACATGTAAAAAAAAACGGCCTCTCCCTCTTTTCTGTGGGAAGGGGCGCACGATGAACCCTTGGACTGCTGTTCATGAACCAGCTGAAGTGCACACGCGCTTACAGAATGCACCACCTGTTTCCCGACTCAGGTGATCTGTGACGCGGATTACATCATCACTGCCGCCTGCTGCAAAACCCCGGGAAGCACCAACAATCGGCAGGCATACAAGAAGGCCGAGTTCGACCAGCTTGTCGAGGGTCTTCCAGGCGACTACTATGCCGTGGGAGATTCGGCTTACGGGGCAACGGACAAGATGCTTGTACCGTACCCAGGATGCGACCTCAACGCAGACCAAGACGCCTTCAACTTCTTCCAGTCGCAAGGGCGCATATGCATCGAGCAGACCTTCGGGATCATGGTGAGTGTTGGCGTAGGTATTTCGTGGGCATATCACGGGATCATGAGCCTGCTCGCGAATGGTATACACGATTGGTGACAAGCTGGGTCATGTTATTTTATTTTTAGCACGAGAACAAAGGTTATTACAAAGTACTTCCACATCGGTAGATATCGCACAAACATTACTGCAAAGTACAGAGGTTGGGGTTAAGTTCATGCCTGAACGCCCCCCCACCCCCCGCCCTCCCCCTACATGTTGCAGATGAAGCAGTGGCCCATTCTGTGGCGCCCGCTGCAGGTACCTCTGCGCAACACCGCGAGCGTTGTGCACGCTATCACTCGGCTTCACAACTACCTCCGAAGGTGTCGTTCTGAACCGCCATCTGCCACCGCCAGGTTCTTGAATGAGGACGGAACCATCAGGAGCAACCGCTGGGCAACACCATCGTCGAGACGGCCCCCGGCGGCCTGTTCTCAGACTCGCGAGAACATCAGGGAGGACATTCGGAATAGAACTCTCATGCGGCCGGCAGAAAACATCGCGCGCAACAGGCGATGGAGGACGGCTATCACTCGTCGTGGCACCGGCGAAGAATAAACTAGGACAGGGGAGGGGGGGGGAGATTGGTCAAGGCGCACAAGGTGGGGTTGCTTTTCGGGGAGCTGGATCACGGGATTGGGGTAAGATGTTCCGTTTGTCGATACAGCGTGTCATACGGCAAGGTGCGGGTTGGAAGTTGGGGGAATGTTCCGCTGAGGGTACCGATAACAGCAAAAAAATATGCTCGTGATGGATCGGATGGACTTCTTTTGTGGTGGTGTTGAAGCTGTCAAGCAGAGAGAGAGAGAGTGGTCATTGTCCGCTACAACCCGCCAGATTTTAATTGGGTACCTAACACGGGGCACGGGAGATAAACGTAGAAGTTTCCGCGGTGCAGACTCATGATAAGAAGCGAGTGTTGGGGGCACTCTTCTTTATTAATGATTTCGACGAAAAAATCGATTGTCATTTTCTTCCATGAGGCAGATGTGAGATTACCCGAAATGCTTTTTGTGCGACTTCGCTGTCTAACGTGGTGTTTGGTTTCTCTGCCCTATTTTTTTGCGGTGGCATGTTCCCTGCTTTTATGTTTGTATGTTTCTTCCCGTTTGGTCGAGTGTGCTCCACAGGGTATTGATGTNTGCCCTATTTTTTTGCGGTGGCATGTTTCCTGCTTTTATGTTTGTATGTTTCTTCCCGTTTGGTCGAGTGTGCCCCACAGGGCATTGATGTTTGGACAAGAGAGATAAATTGAGAAACGATAAACCTCACAGAGGCCGAGAGAGCCGCGTTATTGACATCAAGGGGGTGAGCGTACTCATCTTTCACGGGTTGAGCGTACTCAACCTTCATATGATGAATGTTCACGCAAAATTTATTTTTTGTTCCCAGTAGTCTTTTCGAAACAAAGTGACAAAATGAAATACCCTCCGAACCAATGTCTCTGGCCTCTGGGCTCAGCTCTCCGGCAGCCACAAACGCCTGCATATAACGCCCGATAAAAAAACTCTGGTCCCTCACTGAAAAACGAAATTCTCATGTTCCCCCGCGGAAACCGAAAGAAGAAAGACATGCTGGAGGGGTGGATCAAGCAATGCGCCCTCCACACTCAAGGAACATACGAGCAGTGCCCTACCTTCGTGCTGCACACCACGGAAAAAAAACTAGCCATACTCAGAAAAATGCATGTACCCAACCTAGGCCGTGCGAATCAAACCCAAGACGACAAGATATCCTCTTCATGCGTCGTTGGAAGAAGTCGGGTTTGATTCGTCCGAAGGGCCTTCACGACAAATCGCTACGAAACCATACTCCCTTCCTCACCTTCTTCCTCTCCCTCCGCCGCTTTCTCTGCAGCAGGCCTGGTCTTTTTGTAGATTTTGTCGTACTCCTCCTGTGCTACTGCGAGGTTTTGAGTGAGCCTTTCAATTTTGCTTTTGGACGCTCCTTCTTCTTTCGCATTTTTCAACCTCTCGTCATAGTCATCAAGGCGATCGCTGGCAGCAATCAACATATCCACGGGATTCTCGGCGTCGATGTCCGCAATCTTGTTCATCGCCGCTGCCATGCTGTTTGATGTGGTCTTGAATGCGTCCACAAGTTGGACCAAGGTTTCTTCCGGTTTGACCTTCCCCTTCTCCCTTACCTTCCGCGCTCGCGGCTTCCCCTTCGGAGGGGGCGGTTCACCCGAATCGCTGGACGACTGCTCGTCTTCCATGGATAGAGTGTTGAAAGCTTCCCCATCCTCCTCACTGAGCCTCACGCTGAAGTACCTTGCGCAGTGCTCGTTCGCGCTGTCACCACCCCTCAGCTCGTACCAGTCCATCATGAGTAGGACGTTCAGCTTCTGGTTACAGAAGGACCAGTAGTGTTCAGCGTTGTTCCCACTCTTCTCTTTCTTCTTCTTAGCGTCCTGGAAAACAAGCACGGCACGTTTACATGAGATGGCATGAAAAGAGGGGTCACTAAACGTGCAAGGACTTGGGTTTCGGGAAAAACAATTTCTGACCGTCCCAACTTTCCCCAACGGAGACCAAACGCGTTCTAGACACCACCAGCGATAGGCGACGCCTACGTTAACAACGTTCACACAGCACACAACGTACGTGAAGGGACTATGTCAGAAAGGTACCGATGAATCAAGCAAGCGACACATGTGCCCGCACCCAACGTCAAAACAAACCAGGAAGGAGCGAATGTTTCGAAAAGTAGAGCACCGCTGCGTGCGTATGACCGTAAAAATAGAAAAATAATAACTGGAGGGGTCGTGTGCTACTGGACTGAAATAGCACCCGGCACATATGCCCGTTGAACCCG